CCTAACTCCTCTTCAATCATTCATTTAAAGAACGTGACCTGCTGCAGCCAGAGCCAAGCAGGAAACCCTGAGAGCTTCAGCTGTTGGCGACGAGCAGTCCCGACAGTGATGAGCAGTCCCGACAGCGACAGCGCCGTCGCCATTGAGAAGCAACAAAATAAACACCCGAAATGATGTGTGCGGTCACTCTGGGTCTGGGGGTGCTCCTGTGTTCTGCCCACAGGGATGCTCGGGGGGTTTCGCCTTTGGGGGGGTCTGCACCAGGCAGCCCCTGCCCAGGAACCCACTCGCACACAACCACAGAATTCAAATTTAGAGGGGAAAAGGGCTGAATCCAGGGGGTAAAAGCTTTGTGAGGTTCTGGTTGGTTTTTTTGTAGGATGAAAAGCAAGATTTTAACAGTAATCGCTTTTACTGTTCCTCTCCGTGGCACTCAGCCGTGCCAATAAATTACGTCCAAACGCCAGCACTAAAAGGCAGTGAAGCTTCGGCCTCCTTTAAAACCTCTCCCCTTTATTTATGCACTTGTTTGGATTTATGAAAGCCAAGGCAAAGGAATAACTTCGTTTTGGCACAATTTAAAACCACACGGCTCCTCTTGCAGCCTCATTACCCTATGGTTATAAGAGTGGAGCCCCCAGCCCCAGCAGGCATGCGGGGAGCATCTTGACACCACAGCCCCGGTGTCACTGCTCCATCTCCGTCAGTCGCTGTGCTCACACCCGCAGCCATCTCCCAACACCCGGACAGAGCACAGCGGTGACTCTGGGCACCAGCAGCCCCAGGATGGCTTCACCTCCACATTGGGGTCTGCGGCTCCGGGGGCAGAGGGACAGGTGCTGGGGAGGGGTTGGGCAGCACCCGGGGGCTCTGGCCAGGCCCCGTCGCCCCGTCCTGGGGTCTCAGAGGGGTTCGGGGGGACTTGGCACCAGAGGACATTGGGGAATGGGGGGGACGTGGCAGTGAGAGCATCTCTGTGTGCCCAGAGGAGCATCTGACAGCAAACAGCCCCAAATTACTGCAGATACATGGGATCAGGGGAAGAACCACGCACAGGACTTGGGGACCCAGGACAAAGCGGGATCAGGGCTCCCATTTTGATCCACCCCAAGCCTTGAAAAAGGCAAAACCTCCACACACGGATGGGAATGGGAACAGGAACACTGTCTCTGGAGACGCTGCCACCGCCACCTCATCCTGGGAGCACCCAGGGTATTTCTGTGCCTGCGATCGTTCCTTTTGTAACTTTACCAAGTGTCAGGCCAAAGGCATTTTCACTTAAATTCTCTGTCGCTAGTGCCTGGAAACAACTCCTTTAGAAGGCAAGAGGTCCAACTTCATACAATAGGCTTCAAAAACAGCCTTCTCTGTGCGGGGAGGGGGGAAGCTTAGGAAGAGCCTGTTTGCACATGGCTACTGCAGGCTTCTGCGTTGCAGCTCATGTGCTATTGGTAGAAGGCCCAACAACAAAAGGAAATAAATGGATCATTTCTATCTATATCAAATCTATTTTAACACAGAGTATTGTGGCAGAGGCAGCCCTGCAATTCAGCCCTAAAACACAGAAGGGCAAAGCAGAGAAAAATGGTGCTATGAAATGCAATTTGGTTTTGCATAAATCGAGTTTTACAGCACGTGCGAGCCCAGGCCGAGGGACCAGCATCCCCATGTGCCCCAGGAGCCAAGGACCAGCATCCCTGCACCCCTGATCCAGGGAGCAGCATCCCCATGTACCCTGGAATCCAGGAACCAGCATCCCTGTGTGACCCAGGGGCCAGGGACCAGCATCTCTGCACCCCCACTGTGCTCCCCACCATCACAACCAAACAGCTTTGCTGTGAATTCACCACCAGCAGCAGCATCCCCAGGGAGGACTGCAACACGCCAAGGGAAGAGGTCCCCAGTGCCTCCAGTCCCCCAGAGCAACTGGGGATTTCAATCCTTTTAGTGTGTACCACGTTGATTTCTTTTTGTACGCTGGCAGTTTCTTAATTAAATTGCCCTGAAACATGCAGCCATACGATTACACCACCTTTCTTGTCTGCATTGACCCTACGCGTAACCTCATCAGCGGAGATGAGGTTATTTTGGCCAGCCCCAGCTCTCTCACACACAACACCAACACCACCATCCATCCCCCGTGGCCATGTACCCCAGTCCCTTTGAGACCGCTCTGCCCAGTGCACTGCTGGGCTGGGGGGGCTCTGTCCCCCTCCTCAAAGCTTCCTCCGCTTCCCAAATCCCATGAAGGGTCGTCCGGGACGATGCCGAGCACATGGAAACTACCGGACCTGCTGACTCAAGAAACAACGCTCCGCATTTCATAATCGCTGCCGAGCAAA